CCCGGACAATTTACAGCTTATTGGTTATCTAGAATGTTTCTAAGTACTGTCAGTGTTCTGGGCCTCTAGGTTGCCCCGGACAATTTACAGCTTATTGGTTATCTAGAATGTTTCTAAGTACTGTCAGTGTTCTGGGCCTCTAGATTGTCCCGGACAATTTACAGCTTATTGGTTATCTAGAATGTTTCTAAGTACTGTCAGTGTACTGGACCTCTTGGTTGTTCCAGGCAACTGTCAGCGTTTTGGTTATCTAAAGTATTTCTGAGTACTGTCAGTGTTCTGGGCCTCTAGGTTGCCACGGACAATTTACAGCTTATTGGTTATATAGAATGTTTCTAAGTACTGTCAGTGTGCTGGGCCTCTAGGTTGCCCCGGACAATTTTCAGCTTATTGTTTATCTAGAATGTTTCTAATTACTGTCAGTGTTCTGGGGCTCTAGATTGCCACGGACAATTTACAGCTTATTGGTTATCTAGAATGTTTCTATGTACTGTCAGTGTTATGTGCCTCTAGATTGCCCCGGACAATTTTCAGCTTATTGGTTATCTAGAATGTTTCTAATTACTGTCAGTGTTCTGGGGCTCTAGATTGCCACGGACAATTTACAGCTTATTGGTTATCTAGAATGTTTCTAAGTACTGTCAGTGTACTGGACCTCTTGGTTGTTCCAGGCAACTGTCAGCGTTTTGGTTATCTAAAGTATTTCTGAGTACTGTGAGTGTTTTGGGCCTCTAGATTGCCACGGACAATTTACAGCTTATTGGTTATCTAGAATGTTTCTAAGTACTGTCAGTGTACTGGACCTCTTGGTTGTTCCAGGCAACTGGCAGCGTTTTAGTTATCTAAAGTATTTCTGAGTACTGTCAGTTTTCTAGGCCTCTTAGTTGTTCCAGGCACCTGTCAGCGTTTTGGTTATCTAAAGTATTTCTGAGTACTGTCAGTGTTCTGGACCTCTATGTTCATCCAGGCAATTGTTAACTTATTGGGTGTATCTAGAATGTTTTTGTTGAGAGAGGTCAGTGCGATGTACTTACCCACAGGGTCTCTCCGTGAACACGATGTAGTTACTGTGTGCTGGTGTTTTCTCCACAAACGACACACACGTGTAGTTCTCCCAGTGTCGCATAGCCAGTTTGAACAGTGCTTTGTGTTGACCTGAAACATGAGTTAGTTCGTATAATCATAAGCAGCAGAATACAGTGTCAATTACAAAATATCAATAGGTAGTGTTGTTTTGCATGCCATGGAATTTAAACACTGAATTACTGAGCAGGTAACATTTTATATTGGATATTTCCTGGAAGATGTAATTCTATATTCAGTGCGAGAAATAAACAACTATTAAACAAACCTGGTATAGATTAATATAAAAGATACAGGATGTAGCGGTGAAAGGCATCCTGATGTCAACGTTGTTGTGGAGACACAACCGATACAATCAGCAGGAACAGTCCAGAGGCCGGTATTACCAACTGTTCTATATTGACGATTACATTTAGAGAGTTTATCATAGATCTTGGTTATAATAGTTATCTGGGAATATCAAAATCGCATTGCGAAAATGTCTTCACTGTATGTTGGAGATACCCGGGAATACCTTATGCTACATGTACCAGTAGAGACCTACAGACCACGGAAGCCCTCGACTACATGCCTCACATTGTAGGTGCTTTGTATTTTAAAAGCAACAACTTTTTGTTATCGTTTTTACTTCTGACAGGTCATAAATGAGTGTCTGTAAAATTTCAGAAATGAATAGTGATTGTTAACATAGTCACGTAAGCAGGGTAGCACAACTATCCCCGGAGCTCTGACTGTTTTGTTTTCTTAACAATACAGATCAATATTTTACAGCTCCCGCTGGCATAATATTACTTTATATCTCCTTGAAAGGTCATATTCATTAGATTAATTATTCATTGTTATTCCTAAACTCTGTAGTTAAATCTCGGGGAAAAACATGTGTTCTCAATACCGATCATCAATACAGTTGTATCTGTTTCCTATCAGTGTTCTTAGTAGACTTTGCACCAACATGTCTATAGAAATACTATACAAATAACAGTCATTTAATCACCTAACTTCTAGATTTAAAATCCCAATGGGCTAAGCATGTTTACAGTACAATGTGGTCGATATCTGCCACAAAGCTAAAGAGATGTTATTTAAAGCAAATCTGCCAAGTTGGCGTTTTTTACCCATCCTCTCAGCCCCAGTGGTGTCAAACTTTCTATTTGTATGATTGTTAATCCTGTTGGCTTGACACGTTATTAATATAATTTGGACTTAACACGTTATTAATATAATTTGGGCTTAACACGTTATTAATATAATTTGAGTTTAACACGTTATCAATATAATCTGGGCATAACAGGTTATTAATATAATTTGGGCTTAATACGTTATTTATATAATTTGGGCTTAATACGTTATTAATATAATTTGAGCTGAACACGTTATCAATATAATTTGAGCTTAACAGGTTATTAATATAATTTGGGCTTAATACGTTATTAATATAATTTGGGCTTAACACGGTATTAATATAATTTGAGCTTAACACGTTATCAATATAATTTAAGCTTAACAGGTTATTAATATAATTTGGGCTTAATACGTTATTAATAAAATTTGGGCTTAATACGTTATTAATATAATCTGGGCTTAACATGGTATTAATATAATCTGGGCTTAACACGTTATTAATATAATTTGGGCTTAACACGTTATTAATATAATTTGGGCTTAATACGTTATTAATATAATCTGGGCTTCACACGTTATTAATATAATTTGGGCATAACACGTTATCAATATAATTTGAAATATGGTCAGAACTTTTGAAGGGAAAATGTCATTTGATGCAAATCAGCCAAAAGAAGCACGTTTACCCCCTCACTTTAGGGTCCATGGGGGTCTGCCCCTTTATTTGTATACCTTAAACTCATCAAGGCCTAATGTTGTTGGTATTAAAATGTGGTTAAAATTAGCTCTGTGGTATGGGAGATGACGCCTAATGCAAATGTTGACGGACGACGGACGAGGTACACCTCAGCTTCGTACCAGATGAGCAAGAAATGTCTACTCTACAAACTAATAGTAGTGTATTACTCATTCAAATGTAATGGTTACTGATACAATCTTTAAAGTTACATGCACCCTCATTTTGCTATGTTATTCTGTACACAGGAGAGAAGTGAATTTTGGTGAACTATTTTCCATACAGTGGATGTCGAGTAACACATGAGGCCATAAGAGCGATAGACATGAACTAGGTGGAAGGCGATGCTGACACAACGGACGAACAACATAACCCGTACCTAAACACATGCTAGTTGTTTAGTTCCGATACGCACCACTAAAGTTAGCCTCGATCTCGTACGGTATGACGCCATAATCCCAGAGACGCTCGGGTCGAGCTGTGGCCGCTCTTTTGGATCGCACGTTTGTCGTGTTCTCCGTTGTTGACGTGCTCATTTTTCGTTTCATTTTCCTTTCAAGTTTTCTTTTTAATCTCTGTTCCTTCCTCGTTTTCTTTTCGGCTTTTCTTAGTGATTTGCATTTTTTATCGCTGCAAATATAAAACATGTATACTTATTGCTATACATTACTGAAAATTACATGCAAATATGTTATGAAAAAAAGATTAAATGAAAACAACTAAGAACTTTGACTGAAATTAGGATTCTACGTTCAACATGCATACATATTCTAACACTTAAATTAGGGTGACTTTTCGATGGTTAGAACGTTATGTACTGTCACCTTCATCAGACAATGCAACAATTTGAGTGTTGCGCACTCGTACTTATTTTACACTGGTCATTTTAGAATCATTCGAAACCGAATAGAATTCGACAGATCCTGTCTAAAAAACACAAATCTACAGATTCGGGACAATACGGTTTGGCTGACAACAACTGACAACAACATATCTCAACATATATTCCGAGATACGATCTAAGCAACACTTCGGTACTGCTATGGGCAGTCCCGTGTATCCCATTGTGGCCAATTTGTTCTTAAAACATCTAGGTCAAAAAGAAGCAATAAGGTGAGGTGGCCAATCGTTAACTATCAGCTTAGTTCACATGTACAGATGTATTACACTCATTCCAATAGAGCAATATGCTATAACCCTATCAATGTGGATGTAAATTTCGTTGTTAAAACAAGCTGTTATTGACTACACTAACCAGAGGCCTGTCCAAAACGGCCATCTTGTGTCGAGCTCGTTTTTCACACTTTGAGAGCGTTGCGTAAGCAATGAAGCACACTTCTAACCAATTTTCAGAATTCCACAAAATAGAAAAAACGTTAAAGTCCGACGCATCGCAACCAATCAGATAGTCTGTCCGCTATATTTGATGACCGATGGAATAAAGAAAGGCCTAGTACACATTTACACAAGCTTATCAATATCCAAAACCAATCAGTCTCCAAACTTTGTCGAACATAACGACATATGCTTGGCATACAGTTGTGTACGTTTTTGCGACTTGTCTACCATCCAACTAGCTGTGTTCAAGTTCATTTATTTCTCCCAGCCAAATGCCTATCCGATATTTACACATCTGTTTATTTGTGTATAAACATAGAGGATCGTATGGAGAGTAAAACAGTACAACAGCAGTACTCAGACACAACAACCATCACCTCTTATACTCCAACGGCACGAGGAGACCCACATCGTCAAATACAAGTAGGAAATCGAGTCTTCAGGCATTTCATTCCTAGATATGGATAAGAATAACCCTAAATTGAACGCCCTTAACACTTATTTAACTACGAAAATGGATTTTTTTAAATACTTGGGTAACGGAAGTATCAGTATTTTATATATTTAAATAAATTTCGTATATCAAATAGGCATATCAAATTATTTATTATGAGTATCAGTTTAAAACAATGGAAGTCTTCCTCAAAATTAACCACATGGTAACGTCCCGTATTTCGGAACTGAAACAAAGAATATACTACATATATATTGAGTTTCTACATTTCATCTGCAAATATTTTTCTCCTTCTAAAGAAACAATGCTTTTCTGTCCTATTCCATACTGTGTTTGTGATGATGTCAAAATGCCCAATATCAATGAGGACACCTTACCTGGAATAAGTCATTGGATCAGCATTGTCAATGAGGAAACCTTACCTAGAATAAGTAATTGGATCACGATGTCAATGAGGAAACCTTACCTAGCATAAGTCATTGGATCAGCAATGTCAATGAGGAAACCTTACCTAGAAAAAGTCATTGGATCAGCAATGTCAATGAGGAAACCTTACCTAGCATAACTCATTGGATTACGATGTCAATGAGGAAACCTTACCTAGAATAAGTCATTGGATTACGATGTCAATGAGGAAACCTTACCTAGAGTAAGTCATTGGATCACGATGTCAGTGAGGAAACCGTACATAGAATAAGTAATTGGATCAGGATGTCAGTCAGGAAACCTTACCTAGAATAAGTCATTGGATCACGATTTTAGTGAGGAAACCTTACCTAGAATAAGTCATTGGATCAGGATGTCAGTGAGGAAACCTTACCTAGAATAAGTCATTAGATCAACAATGTCAATGAGGAAACCTTACCTAGAATAAGTTATTAGATCAACAATGTCAGTGAGGAAACCTTACCTAGAATAAATCATTGGATCACGATTTCTGTCACATAGTCGTGTGTACATGTGTATATTATATGATAGTACCGAGGGTTATCGATTACAGTGTATTGTATGTATAAGTACAGAGGGGTGCCGATTACAGGTTGTTGTGAACAGAAGCAAGATCATTGGATAGTCGATGTTTATCTTCGTTTCACTGACCAATCAGAGGGTAGCTTACAAGCAGTAGTGAGAACATGTGCTAGTCAATTCGGGGCAGTCGCCATTTTTCCCACAAGGAGTGAGGTGCTAGCGAACATGATGGGCTAGAGCGAGGTTAGGAAGACTCCCCGGGGGTGAGTGTTATGTTACACTTGGATATAAATGTATATGGTTTATGTTAATAATAATGAATTAAGCTGTCAGGAAATATTTGTTCAGCTATAAGTCAAGTTAAGCGGTCGCTATCGGCGGCACTCTACTGTCTGAGTATAGTATAGCCAAGGTGGTTGTTAAGCTAAAATATTACGTGCATTGCCTCGTTGACAGGGGAATATATATGTAAATATTAGTCAATTATATCCATGTCAAGCCTAATAGATGAGTTCAGGGCAGTAAAAGTTGGTATTTTGTTAATTACAGTCCAAGGTGGGGGTGGACTAGGGACCATGCGGCAGGCAGCCGTGTGGCTAGTCACGTGACCTGAGACATGTAAACAGTAAACAAAAACACGTGGCGGCTGAAGTTATGAAGGGCCGCAGTGTGTAGTACTGGTTCTACGATGAATTTTCACAACTATATTATCGGTACAACTATATTATTGGTACAACTATATTACTGGTACAACTATATGATTGGACTACGACTGGTATGAAGCTCTCAGTGGTGGTGGATGTCCGATGTTCCCCTACAGTTCGTCGTGGCCTTATGATGTCCGATCTCTTTTACACCGAGGCGACTCCAGCAGTTCATGGTGAAAGGAGATGTAATTCTGTGCGCCGGAGAGACAGTTGTTTGCGGAGGGACGCGTACTCATGCATTGTGCAGTGGATATACTGCTTGTACTCTATTACTAACATACTGTATATCTACAGTGAGGTGTGAACAGTCAAGGGGGGTTAATTAACACCATTAGGACAGTAGGTTTAATTACAAAGGTCTCTCAGTGAGAGTGTATTTATGGATGATTTTGAGTATCATTTATTTGGTTATTATGTAGCCTGTTATGGGTATCCGTTTATGCTGACATGTTGTAAGCTGGATAAGATTATCTACATGTAGTAAATATGTGATATTTACATATAGGCAGGATATCAAAGGAGCTCCTTGGTCAGATAGGGACAGATTAGTAATACTTGTAATACTTGAATTATTTTTATTATTTGTTATTTTATTAAATGTTATCAATTTATTCTGGTCTTTGAGTTGTGAAATTCTTCAAAGTAACTTGGCCGACTCTGTTGCGTGACAATGTTCATGAGGAAACCTTACCTAGAACAAGTCATTGGATCAGCAATGTGAATGAGGAAACCTTACCTAGAATAAGTCATTAGATCAACAATGTCATTGAGGAAACCTTACCTAGAATAAGTCATTGGATCAGCAATGTCAAAGAGGCAACCTTACCTAGAAAAGTCATTAGATCACGATGTCAATGAGGAAACCTTACCTAGAATAAGTCATTGG